TTAAGAATTTTAATCCTTTCTCCTTCTAGATTCGAACCATACCGTGATGTGTTCAGAGAAGGCAGAGGGAATTTCCGCTCAGTCCTGCTTTCTAGTTTAGCATGTGTCTTCATGATAACTGGACTCTGACACATACACTGTGGGCATTTAACTTTCAAGTCGGGCTATTTTAATGAAGCAAATTACTTAAACCTTTATTCTTGTATTTTTCTATTCTGCATTCAAAAAATCATTTTATCCTCAGGTTATGAGCAGCAGTTCCACAACTTGCTGTTTCAGCCCAGGAATCCTCAGCTCATGTGCAACTTCATGCCAAGACCATTGGGCACGAGAATGGTGCGGGGGGGTGGGGGGGGGCTTGAAGCCAGGTGCAAGGTCCCAGTGACCTGGAGTCCAGCTCCCCCTGGAGGCAGCGCCAAGGAACACAGCTTGGAAAAGCATCTTGTTAAAGGAGAAATGTCCCCAGGGTTACTCCAGGACCTCAGTGCAGCTGAAACAAACAAAAGACTGACAATTCTGAGAACCTTTGAATCCCAATACGTTTCTCCTGAAAAATGAAAGATTTCAGTTTAATTAAGTAGTGGAGCAGGGTCCACCTGGGATGGAGGCAGGAAACTATGTTTCTAGTCCCCGGTTAGCTACCATCCAGATGTGTGAATTTGGCAATGCCTCCTGGGACATTTACTTGTAAAGGTGCCTGTGGGGAGGCCCCAGGATAGACGGGTGTTTGGGACTGCGCTGTTGAGTTCTCACGGTGGGGCGGGGGGGGGGTGTTGGGAGGTACCCTCTGGGTCCCCATGTCTCCCTCACCCCCTTCAAAGGGAGCAGGTGCTTACCTTTTTGTTGGTAAAGTATATCAAACTTTATGTAAGATTTCATTTGAACAACAAATAGAGTTCTATGGCATAAACATATGTTTTAAAAAAAAATCACTGCACTAGATAACCTTTCAGTCATTTTTAGCTTCGATACTCGGATTTAGAGATTTTTTTAAACCGAGAGAAAATAAGCCTTTACCTGGAATGAATCATTTTTCACCGAGGATAAACTGGGATTAAAAACTTTTCTTGCTAAAGAACACAAACCATTGTGGTCATTTCCCGAGTTGGCAGGGAGCCACCACCTTTGGCACCGGTGCAGCTCCGTAAGAACACACACCTGGAAACCAGTTAAAGGAACAAACATCGTTATTTCCCTTTTCTGTCTTTTTTTTGGGCTATTACCTAAATGTAAATGATATTTATTGAAAATACTACAAAGAACTCAATTCAGCGGACTGATTTTTAAAAAAAAACCCTAATTTTATTTTTATTAGCTTTAAAAACAAAACTTGTTACAAGTAATCACAAGGATTCCAAAAAAATTACATTCTGCTTTTGTCCCTTTGCAAGGACGAGGAACATTTAAATGTCCTAAAAATACAGGAGAGCCAAAGTCGACAAATAACAAACTACTACAAACTATGGATTGTTACATCAGGCACACTAAAATACGGAATACATATATATAAATTACTAACCAGGTTTTTGAAGTACAGTGAATATTCACTACAATTTATAGTACCAGAAAAGCAATGTTCCCCCAGAATATAACACAAGATCACAAACATGTTCAGATAAAATAATAAATTCACCTCCTGGGTTCAATGAAGAGAGAAGTGGAACGAGTGAAAAACTTTCCTTCAAGTTGGAGGACATGCACGATACAGCAGAAACGTAGATGGCTTCTCTCTGGGTTCCCCACCTCAGGGGAGAAGCAGCAGGCAGAGGATGGCAGCAACAGAATTAGCTACCTTGGTCTCTCTCCTCAGTCTCCAGTCTGAGTTAGGAAGACTGGGGACTGCATGGGAAACGATATGGAAAAACACAATTTCTCTGCATAGATAGAGATCTTCCAGATAACAAGAATGAACATTCTGTCAAAGTTATGCAGGAACGTCCAAGAGTCTGCAGGACATGGTTTTGCTTCAAAAGGAAAACACAGGTCACAAGATAGACCACACAGCCTAATTTCATTAAAGGTCCTTATGCTTTTGTTTCAGTGGATGGAGACACTTTGACTCGCCCCAACGTTAGTTCTTCTTAACCTTGGCTGGAAACTTCTATTTGGAACATGACCATTTTTATCATCTTTTTGGTCAGTAAAACCTAGCCGTTGTCACCTTCTTCTGTTGCTTTGCTGCTTGTGTGTTCGGTATTAATAACAACAGTCTTTAAGTTACTAACATTTCCCGATTCCTGGGGGAGACAACAATGGCATTCCAGTGAAGATGTTCCCGTGAGCCCACCCCCAGGGGAGGTTATAAAACAAATGGGTATTTATTAAACTGTTGAACAAGGTTCATAAACTCATAAACTTACTAAGTTTATTTAACGTTTTAAAAAGTGAGTTTCTGTAACAATGGACTTCCCTCAACGAGGAGGCAACTAATTCCCTCAACTGTTGTTCCTTTATATTGTCACATTTGTAAGTAATTTGTTTGCTTTTATGCAGGAGGACATAAAGGCAAGTGTGTACACAAGGAGCACGGTGAGTGGGCAAAGGAAGGCTGACCAAGTTCACCCACGCGATAGGTATGAAAGTCTACGACTCCAGAGAAAAGAGAGACACCAGCAGACAGGGAACTTTGATGCACCAAAAATTTCATATATTTTCCGCTGTTTAATTATGTCTGAGATCTTCCCTCCTTAGAATAAAGCTATGGTCTGGATAAGAGTCTATATAGAAACACGAAGCACAGGTCCATCTTCAATCTTTCCCAGAGCTGTTTTACAAGCAGAGTGCCAGGGTCATTCCACTGCAAACGATTTTCAAATCCTAGAGGATCTCAGGCTCCTTTTTTTTTTTTTTTAATTTTAAAAAAGATTTTATTTATTTATTTGACAGAGATCACAAGTAGGCAGAGAGGCAGGCAGAGAGAGAGGAAGGGAAGGAGGCTCCCTGCCGAGCAGAGAGCCCAATGCGGGGCTCAATCCCAGGACCCTGGGATCATGACCTGAGCCAAAGGCAGAGGCCTTAACCCACTGAGCCACCCAGGCACCCCAATCTCAGGCTCCTTGCTCTACTAGACTCACATCTCGAGTCTGGCTACTTGTAATTTAATCTCACTACTACTAAACTCTAGGAAAGCCCCATAAACACGATTGCCGGCTACCAAAATAACATTATTTAAGTAGATTCCAATCCCAACAGTACAATGATAACAAAAACACAGAACATGGAACATTAATTTCATTCAAGAGACTGCTAAGTCACCGCCTTCATCAGCTGTCTCTTCTTCACTGTATTCCTCCAGGGGAGATAGAATTCTTTCCCCCTTTTTTGTCTATTTTCTTTTCTTATTATTTATTTTTGTCTATTTTCTTTTTTTTAAATTTTTTAAAATTTATTTGACAGACATAGATCACAAGTAGGCAGAGAGGCAGGCAGAGAGAGAGAGAGAGAGAGGAGGAAGCAGGCTCCCCGCTGAGTGGAGAGCCTGACGTGGGGCTCAATCCCAGGACCCTGAGATCATGACCTGAGCTGAAAGCAGAGGCTTAAACCCACTGAGCCACCCAGGTGGCCCTTGTCTATTTTCTTATGACAAAGATTCATGGCTTCTGAGAGGCCAGTGCAAGAAGAAAGGAAAAAAAAAGCCTAGCGCAGGAGCTGGAATGCCAACCCAGTCCCCGTGGCCTTCGAAGAAAGATGCCTCATCTCCATTTTGTCATCTGTGTCACACAAGGAGTAGACTACATCACCTTCAGCACTATGACTGAGATTCTGAGGAAATCTAGTCTCTTCACTTTTTTTTTTTTTTTAAAGATTTATTTATTTACTTGACAGAGCTAGCACAAGTGGGGGAGTGGCAGGCGGAGTGAGCAGCAGACTCCCCCGCTGAGCAGGGAGCCTGACACGGGACTTGATCCTGGGACCCCGGGATCTATCAAAACATTTTGAAGAGATGGAGTTGCTGTGAGTGGGAAACAAAAGGGCTGTTTTCTAGAAGAAGGATGGTGCTGCTCCCGCCCTGTCTCCTGGCAGTTCTGATTCAAACATACCATGTTCTGTTTAAGCCTTTATGGGGAACGTAAAACTTCTGGGCTCTCAATTCCGTGGCTAGGTTGAGTGTATAAGTGTGTAGAAGCAAAATGTGGGAAGATGAGTTTGCTTTCCTCCTGACATTCAGCTCCCCAAGGCTTCAAGGGAACTGTTTTTACTGATTCTTAGTACTTTCAACTAGCTGATGCTCACACAAGCACACTTTATAAATGGGCCTATTTTAAGTGCTAGATTTTCTTATTCTTCACGTATGCTTTTTTCCTAACACGAAACATCATCTTCTTTCCTCACAATGTTCTAAAGAATTTGATTCCCAAGATGAAGTAATGATTTCTGAGGAGAACAAGGCTACTATACTATCAGGGTTAAATCTGAGTAATAACTCAATTTCCAAAAAGAAAAACATAGCTAAACTTATTTAAGGAACTTTAAAAAAGTACACAAGACTCACCTCTTATAAGATGGTTATGTGAGCTGGATAGAAAGTAGCTAAGAAAGGACGGAGTCCATACGTAATACTTGCTGAGATCCTGGTTGATTTCACCATATTTAAAAGTTAATGGGCATTTAGTACTTTTCCTTTTATTTGAGTTCACCTTACGGAAACAGTATACTAGAAAGAATGAAAATATTAATGTTCTCCACTCAGAAAAGTTTAATATATGTATATATTAAATAATATATATTTTGTATTTAATATATATTTATTTTGGTTTAAGTTTTTCTTCAATTTATTCAATACTGCCAAAAAAAAATACAGAGAGGGGCACCTGGGTGGCTCAGTGGGTTAAGCCTCTGCCTTCAGTTCAGGTCATGATCCCAGCCAGGGTCCTGGGATCGAGCCCCATGTCTGGCTCTCTGCTCAGCGGGGAGCCTGCTTCCCCCTCTCTCTCTCTGCCTGCCTCTCTGCCTACTTGTGATCTCTGTCTGTCAAATAAATAAATAAAATCTTTAAAAAAATACAGAGAAAAAGAAATACCTAGGTAATCTGCACTGCTTGGCTTTAAAAACAGGTTATGTAAGGTAGGGGCAGACTATTCTTTAATTGGAAGGAAGACCATGAACGCCAAGCTAATAATAAGACATCATAGATTTTGATCACTTAGAAAATTATGGTTAATAAATATTACCTAAAAGGAAAATTTTAAATCCTCAACTGTTGAAAATACATACATTTCCTGATGTACAGGGTCCATTCTGCAAATGATAAGTTAGTGCAACCAGATAAGATCAAACACTAGCAAAGGGGTGAATTCAGAGTGCGAAGTAAATTGATTAAGTTGCTGTCAGTTAAAGTGCCAAATGATCTGAATTTAATACACTGCCTATGGAATCAGATTTCAACTGTATTTATATAGAGGCTGAGCGGGGGTAGACATATATAAATAGGAGAGCTTATCATCTCAGATTATTTGAGGGCAAGGAAAAATAGAAAAGTTTTTTTGGGCAATATGGTTTAAGTCCTCAGAAATACATTCTACCATAATAAGAACCTCCAAACCATGAAACATGCTACCAAAAATGGACAGACACCATGGCGTGAATTTCTGCATTCTTCCTTCTGGGTAGTTTGCTTTATGAGTGCAAACTCCTATGTGCACCCCCTTCACACACATCCCGGGGAGCTCCAGACATGTGACATACAGAGAAGACAGCACAGCGAACAGAGATCAGCAGAGCCCTCCGACCTAAGCCAAGTTTTCTTCATTATGAGACTTTTCTACAAAGGGACTGCCAAGTCTGAACAGACCACAGAAAGGTGAAAAGATGCTTGTTTCTGCTTCAGGAGCCTCAACCATCCACTCCTGAAACACAGGTGAGGAAGAGTTCTGTTTTAAGGAAAAGGCCAACTGTCAGCCAGGGTAAAGTATTGCACCAAAAACAAGGTCTGATGAATGGAATGATCTCAATTTCCCACATCTTTCCTGGATTCGTAGAAAAAGAGTATGTGTGCCTTTTCTTTCAGAGCAAACTGGAAAATGTTTCAATCGACAATTAAAAAACAGTCTTCAGAGAATCTTATTATTACCTTTTCCAATTTACAGTCTCTGAATGACACACATAGCATGTATAACATTAAAAAACTCAACTGGTGGCTGAGGATGGTTGGGGATGCCACGGGCTAGCACACGGTCACAGATGGCAGACCACGGTGGCCCCCAGGGGTTATCATCAGTCAGACTTACGGGTGGCCTGTCCAGCTTCCAAAGTGGCAGTTCTCTGGGAGGGACGACGCATCAGGGACAGTGGTCTGTACAGCACTTTCCTCTTTCAAGCAAGAGTAACAGGGAAGAGAGTCACATGCACACAGATTTGTGCCACTTGGGTCCAATGGTCAAAGAGAATTTGGCATTTCCTCCCCAAAGCTAAAGAAAAAAACAACACGAGAAAAATGACTCCCTATGAATTAGTCTAGATTTCAGATCTCTTCTCGCACAAAAAAAATTTCATGTATGTTGAATAACCACATTTGATCAACAGATAGAGTAGCTGGGAGCTATCATAGCATTACTGAATGTCCATGTTAGATTGTTAAGGTTGTGAGACTGTTTTTTGAGGTCATAAAAATGGCACTCGGGACTACAGCTTTAGTTTTTGGGGACCCCATAGGTATATGGAATCAGGGAAATGAACATTGCTGGAGGAAGCCAGGAATCAGAGACATTTCCTACTGCTTAAAAAATGGTCAAGAGTTGCAACATGTTGAGGGCTAATCCTTTCCTTTAAAGTGCTGTTCAGAATCTCTGTGAAAAGGTGTGACAGGTAAAGTCATCTGCTACTCTCTAGGCCGTGTCTGCAGCCGGTGGGCGGTGGCGACACCCAGCCTCCCCTCCACCCAGGCTGAGCAGCGCTGTGCCAGGGAGGACACGGACCTCCAGGGCGGGGCCCCAGGGGGGCAGCGGCGGGCACCCCAGCCAGACCCCTCACAGTGCCCCATCGAAGGTCTGGGGCTCACTCAGTGCTGCGGCTGGAGGTTCGGGGCGCCTCGTCTGGGTAATTTTCTGTTTGGGGTTTTTTGTTTCTTCTTCCTCTTCAGTTTCACTTTCGCAGACGTGAACCACCACGCTTGGCGTGGACTCCGTTCCTGCGTGGAGCTCGTATTTCTCTCCTGGGGAGAAAAGTGGCAGAAAGAGGGGTTGGTGTCTCGAAACTTTGTTCTACTTGTCTTTTAATTGCTGCTGATTGGCTTTTAAATCCTATGTCAGAGCACTTAGCTTTGGCCTTAGAGATCTGATTCTGTAAGGTTCTTATACAGTTTTGCTCTTTGAAGAAATGAGCTGGTGCAGAGGACTGACATGTCGGGAGGTAAAATGGAAATGCTAATTACTGTTCTACAGACAGTGTGAGTGAACCTGCTTAACTCCAGAACGGTTTCAGTTTTCCCTCGGGAGACACCTGTAAGGTTCCAGGCAGCCATCTCTTCATTACAGGACCGCACACATCCATGACATTGCTCTGATGTATACGAAAACACCTCCCCTCCCCTCAAAATGCCTCTTGTAACCCCTTCTAAGAGATAACATTACTGTAGGTGGACAACTAGTCTGAACTAGCCCAGTACTGAGTTCCTAGATTATTTTAAAGGGATGAGAGAAATCAAAGAGAAGAAAAAGAAGAAATGAACAATAACTCTAAGAGAAGGATTTGGAAGGAGTAATATAGTATCGCCACCAGTTCCTTGAAATGAGTACTCAATGGAGAAGTCTGTCTGGTACTTTGATGGGAGGTGGGAGAAGGTAACTAACATTCACTAATGGCTGGCTGTGTCCTAGAAGGATGTATAGCAATTTAAATTGTTGTTATGTTTATTGAGTATCACATTTAATTCTTTTTTTTTTTTTAAGATTTTATTTATTTATTTGACAGAGAGAGATCACAAGTAGACGGAGAGGCAGGCAGAGAGAGAGAGAGGGAAGCAGGCTCCCCGCTGAGCAGAGAGCCCGATGCGGGACTCGATCCCAGGACCCTGGATCATGACCTGAGCCGAAGGCAGCGGCTTAACCCACTGAGCCACCCAGGCGCCCCTCACATTTAATTCTTATTAACCACACTGAAAGGTAGCTATTATGATTGGTATTTTATTTATTTATTTATTTAAATTTTTTAAAAAGATCTTATTTATTTATCTGACAGAGATCACAAGTAGGCAGAGAGGCAGGCAGAGAGAGAGGAAGGGAAGCAGGCTCCCTGCTGAGCAGAGAGCCCGATGCAGGGCTCGATCCCAGGACCCTGGGATCATGACCTGAGCTGAAGGCAGAGGCTTTAACCCACTGAGCCACCCAGGCGCCCCTATGATCGGTATTTTAGATGAGAAATCGGGCTCAGAACCTGAAGCTAAATAACTTGCTCAAGATCACAAAGTTAGCAACTCTTGGTCTCTGGGTTGTGGGTTCTATCCCCACACTGGGTGTAGAGAAGACTTAAAAAAAATCACAAAGTTCCAACACTAGAGTTAGAACCCAGGTTTGTGTGACTTTATCCTCCACTCTGATCATGCTGCCATTGGCTGGCTAGCATGCCAATCGCCGAGTGTGGTCTTTAATACAAAAATTTCTTGGGAGGGGGAAAAATAGGGAAGGTAAGAGTTTATTACCTGGTCCCAGTTTGGAAACTGCACAGAGTAAGTCATAGTTTATAACAGGCGTGGCGTCCTCCCCCTGCTTCCACCCCACAGGCGGGGAGGCGGGAGGGGAGATGAGGAACTGTTTGACGGGCTGCGGCGGCAGTAAATAGGACTTGTGCCGGGTTTCGCTGGACATCTGGACCTGCGGGCAAGGAGAGGCTCAAAACCAGCGCGTGACTGGGTTGTTTCTTCATTCTCATCGTGAGGCTAACTGTGACCTCTTTGGAGAAAATGAAAGCATTTTCCCTGGCAGCCTGCATCTCCGGGTGGCCGGAGCTGGGTCTGTGTGGCTGACTGCCCAGTGCAGGGGGCTCAGCCCAGTACCCAAGCCCCCGGGGGCCAGTAAACCAGAGCCCAGTGAGAACCTGAACCCGTAAGGAGATGAACAAACACTGAATGGCACTAAACCTGAATCCCAATTTTACTTACCTATTTTCTGAATTCTAGTTTTAAAACAAATTAGGTTTTACTGTCTCCCTCTCAAGCAGCTCTACCAAGAAACATCCCGACAACTTTCATTTATATTTTCATTTGGAGCATGAGACAATGGACAAACCTCCTTTTTCAAATTTGGTTGAAAATAAAATACCGCACTTAATAAATGAGTTAAGGTCGAATGCTTTTATGTCGTCAATTCTTCAGAGGAGAAACTGGTTCGCCAGCGCGCGACCCAGCAGGATCCAAATAGTAAGCAGAGCAGATTGGTGGAAACCAGCAGGCTCTTCTGCAACTGCAAAGGGCCAGCCTTTCCGCGGAGCCGGGTCCCTGGTCAGCCCCAGGCTGGCAGCGATCTTCAGTGGGGTGACATGACTTCAGCGACTATTTTCTCAATTCTCCCAAAGCTGTCACATCCCAAATGCCCTTCTAGACGCACAAGAGGGAAGTCAGCTCACTGATCTTTTTTTTTTTTTAATTTAAATTCAATTAGCCAACACATAGTACATGATGAGGTTTTGATGCAGTGTTGAGTGATGCATTCGTTGTGTATAATACCCAGAGCTCATCAGGTCAGGCGCCCTCCTTAATGCCCCTCCCCCAGTGACCCCGTCTTGAGGAGTTAGGGCTTCACCCTTACAGAACCCCAGTGGAGAAAAGCTGCCAGAAAGATGAATTCCTTTAACGTTTAGCATAAGCACAACAAAGTCAGGAAGGCAAATATCCTTAATATTTATATATCCGTAAAACAAAGAAAATATGTTTTTACATCCCTTGCTGATTGGGATTATTTCAAAGACATATACTCATCAAGAAAACGGAGGACGGAGGGTATTTCGGGATGGAGGAAAAGGTTGAGAGAACAGCATGGCGAGGTACCTGTGCAAAATACAGCTTCAGCTTCTTCCCGTTGAAGTCTGTTTCGTTGAGTTCTATTCGCGCTCTTGCTGCTGCTTCTGGTTTGCTGAAATTTATTCTGACTCTCCGAAAGCTCTTAAATAACTGAAATGTCACCTGGTCATCATAGATAGTGAAAAGTGCTTCAAATCTCTCCTAAAAATTGAGGTTTAATAAATGATCAGTTTAGAAAACGGAATGTAACAAAACAGACCTAAGAAAATTCTCAGTACCTTAAGAAATACTCCTTAGGCTTGCCCATGGTAACATAATAAAGGAATCTGTCAATTAGCTTTGTTTTTGGTTTCTGCAAAGATCCTGCAACTATTTGTTGATACTGACGTAAAAATAATTTGTTAACTTTTCTCAATTTGAATATTTTCCTACTGCTTTGCAACATTTCTCCGGTTTGACAAAATATAAAGTGATTTGTGATCAAATATGTATTCTTCTAATGTTCAGATATCCCTTATAATTCAGAAAACATCATCTGCTTAAAAATTATATTATTTTTGCTCATTCATTTAAAAAAATACATATTAAGCAGCCAACTACATGTGAGACCTTTACATTAAGTGCCGGGCTTCCAAAGTATCACAAGCTGCTTCAAAGGAAGGTGAACAGATCAAGTCTGTTTTTATTTATTATCTCTATGTATTAAAGTAATATGTACAAATACTTATTATAGATATAGTAAAGACTTTTACATGGCACTTCGGTTCTTAAAAATAAATGTGCACAGGTAAATGTATTAAATCCTAATAATTATTAACACTTCTAGGTATATTTCAGTTTCCTCAGCATCCATTTCAAAGATGGTTGGCTTTGTCACTCTTAAAAAAAATTAGAATTGAGACTTTGTGAAACTGCATTTCATTTAATTCTTGGCAGATGCTAATACTTTGAATATTAAGTATTAAAATTCCCACATGAGATGGTTAAGAAATGTCAACCCTGAGGGGCACCTGGGTGCAGTAGGCTAAGGATCTGACTCTTGACCTACACTCAGGTCATGATTTCAGGGTCATGAGTTCAAGCCCTGTGTTCATGAGTATAAGCCTACTTGGAAGGAAGGAAGGAAGGAAGGAAGGAAGGAAGGAAGGAAGGAAGGAAGGAAGGAAGGAAAAGGAAGGAAGGGAGGAAGAAAGAAAGAAGGGAAGAAGGAGGGAGGGAGGGAAAAGAGAAGAAAAAAAGAAAAGAAAAGAAAAATATCAATACTGAAGGCAGAGGAAATGGAAAGTAGGGAAGAATGAATTAAGCATGGTTTATGTTAGTATTCTGTCATTCTGTACATTAGTTTCCCTTGCTGAGGGTAAAGGACCATGTATTTATTCCCAATTCCCACAACAATGAATTTTTTAAAAAGATTTTATTTATTTATTTGACAGAGATCACAAGTAGGCAGAGAGGCAGGCAGAGGGAGAGAGGAGGAAGCAGGCTCCCTGATGAGGAAAGCCTGACATGGGGCTCGATCCCAGGACCCTGAGATCATGACCTGAGCCGAAGGCAGAGGCTTAACCCACTGAGCCACCCAGGCGCCCCAACAATGAATTTTTTGTAGTCACAATAACACACGATCTCGCAAATGAAACAGCTACTTGCTAATTACAACCTTCTTCCTTTCATAACATTTTTTTTCTCACTCCAGAAATATACCGTCACTGAACGTTAACAGGCAGGTGACAGCCATAGGTTCTATGGGTCTCTCTCTTCTAAATTCTAGTATCTGTGAATGGATTCAGCATTATACAAAAACAAAGCCATGCAAAAGCCAATCAGTAAGCATCTTCTAAGTTTTGTCAGATCCTTCTCTTTCTTTCCCATTTTCATGGAGCACAAAACGGTTTGAGAAATGTGTGACTTCTCATTGTGAGGTACAGTAGAGCACAGACAGAATTAATGTGGAGGCAAAATGATCACTGTTTCCGTGTGACGAACAACATGAGCCTTTGGCTGGTAGCTCCGCCCTCCTGTGAACCCACAGGTTCCAACAGGTAGACTCCTGAGGGGGTGCCCCCGACAACCAGATGTGGACACAAAAGGGGTTCGGACAACTGCAGGGAGGTCATGATCTGCCCACATGCACTGAAACTAACTGGCGAGAAACATAATTCATTCAGAAACAAAGTATTACTTTTCTCCTTAGAATTGTTTTAGAAATAATGCACTTTTATATGTTTCTGATTTCTTGAGTATTAAAAATGAACACCGTCCTGTTCAAGGGTGAGGCTTGCACATTTGCTTCTGACAAAAGGAAGATCCCAGAAAATCCCATGGCCACGAACACTCTTTCTCCAGCGGTCTCTTAGTATCCCTTCAGGCAGTACATCTATAGGAATAAGACAGTTAATACTGCCTAAAAATCAATCCCTAGGGCTTTTCCTGTTATAGAAGTTTTCCACCAAATATAGATCAGAAGCTGCCTTCTATGCTGAAATCACCCATGCAATTAGCAGTAAAAAGCACGACAAATACCTTACATCTAAAATATGCAAAGACAACATGTAACGGATAGCTTTCTTGGGAATTCCAGAAAAGTACTTTGCAGCTGGGTAACAAGCCAACTAAAATCATGAGGCGAGAAAAGTAGAAAAGGTTTTATGGGAAGGTTGGTTTCAGGGAGATGAGGGTAGCAGCTAGGTGTGTATTTCTTGACCTTTCTGGAAACACTACTTCCCTATCTTCTCTTCCCCCTCCCAAAGCAGCAAAGGCGAGGCTTATCAATTTCACTGAGGAATTAATTATGAAAATAATTTTGTTGCACCCCTTTGCCTTGGACATAAGAGCCTGAGGGGCCCACCATGTCTGCACGTTAAGGACAATTTCACTGTTGGGGCGCCTGGGTGGCTCAGTGGGTTGGGGCCTCTGCCTTCGGCTCAGGTCATGATCTCGGCGTTCTGGGATCGAGCCCCGCATCGGGCTCTCTGCTCAGCGGAGAGCCTGCTTCCCCCTCCTTCTCTCTCTCTGTCTGCCTCTCTACTTGTGATCTCTGTCTGTCAAATGAATAAATAAAATATTAAAAAAAAAAAAAAGAACAATTTCACTGTTGAGAAGCAGCAGTGTTTCAACCCATTCAGCTGTGAAATTATCTCTGGAGTCCTACGGCAAAAGATTTTTCATGTTCTATGTCTGTCTGTAAATCTGAAATAGAAAATTCCGTCTCTCCAGCAGGTTTGTGGATGTCAGAGACAAGGCCTCCATTTCCACCTGGGGAAAGGCAAGTGCCTTTGGTTCTCCTCCATATCACTGCTGACTACCAGGGAAGAAAGCCCCCAAACTCCTGGGTGTGGTAGATTTAAAACTCTGATCATTTGAGCACTTGTAATAGTTCTGGGCCCTAAATTCAGAAGTGCCAGAGGGGAGCAGAACACATAGAAAATGTGAAAACCTTCTTTAACTGTTTGCCCATAGTATTCATGTTGCTTTCAACACTGTTCCAGATCAGAAAGAGGCATGAAACTGAATTAAAATTCAAGGAAATATGGAAGACTAACTGTTCGGTATTGACGTCTAGGTTTTAGTGGTTCATATGTTTATAGATGCATACTCTGCCTTATTGGAACACAAGTTCTTAGAGGGCTATTTTTCCCCCCAATCTATGATATCCCCTATTTACCATGTAGAAGAAAAGTAGTCAAACCAACGATAAATCGTTTTTGATGGTAACAAACTACAAACTGGTACTAGGGTGGAGACGGAAATATTCTTAATGGGAGTGTTGACTACATAGGCAGAGACTGTCAAAACTCATTAAGCTGCACACTTAAGACCTGTACATTTACTGCAGCCAAGTATCATCAAATGAGAAAAAAAGAATAAGAAGAAAAAGAGTGACACGAGGAGGGGGATGAGAGAAGGTGGCAACTGGAGTGACCTGTGGCCAGCCGTGGAGGTGGCCCCTGGGCCATCATCACTGCTGCACGCAGCCTGTCTGGGCCAGAGCCTTGCACACCAGGGTCAGTCCCCCGACCTGGCTGGGGGCACAGCAAACCTACTGTTTTCATCTTCACTTGGGACAACACATCCTTAGTCATCGGTAATCATTCTGACTCTAGGAACTTCTTTTTTCTTCCATGGCTAGTTGCAAAAGATGCAGATGTGTGACTGTGCCTTTCCAGAAGAGGTGTGCCCAACGCAGAGCCCATGTTCAGGCAGGTTGGTGGCCAATCACCAGCCTCAAAACACGTAGAAAATAGGGTGCCCCTTTAGGAGAATGAGATCCACAACCACACTATCACACCTGTGACTTTTTTTTTTCCCTAAAGATTTTATTATTTATTTGACAGACAGAGATCACAAGTAGGCAGAGAGGCAGGCAGAGAGAGGGGAGGAAGCAGGCTCCCTGGTAAGCAAAGAGCCAGATGTGAGGCTCAATCCCAGGACCCTGGGATCATGACCTGAGCGAAGGCAGAGGCTTTAACCTGCTGAGCCACCCAGGCGCCCCCTAACTGTGACTTTAACAGTGAAGCTGACTGGGTGGCAGGCAGGGCCCCTACGTCTAATGAGATCCCAGATCTTGACAGTCCCCAGGCAGCAGCGATGGCTTTTTCTCTTTAGCCTGAAGGTTGGCTGTTTATTGAAGAGCAGAGAAGACAGAGGAGCAGACTGCAAGGCCTCCTGGAGGAAAGGGCAGATGGAACAAGCCTGTGGCGTGGGCAGACAAAAAGAGAAAAGCAGAGAATTCTGCCGCTGCTCAGCATGTCCTCTCCTGCCCCACTGAGCACCGTGCTGCTGGGGATCTAGAAGTGACAGTCCGGTTACGGGCGGGCATTACCTAATCCAAGGACTCAAGATGGCCCATGCAACATTTCAGGTTTGTAAGCTCATCCAGGTGCTGGAGCTCAAACATTGTTTGGATCCAAGACACCAGAGATGAGAAAAAAAATCACACAAGTGGGTTCTTCCCGGAAGACCATATGAATTTTCCCAGGCACGAGTGAAACAGGGTAGGTCATCCAAACTGCTGTTCAAAGTACCCAGGCTTCAGGGGTCAAGGTCAGGATCCTACGATTCATGCACAAGGAAACCCATGACTGCTCACCAGGAAGTCCTGTCGAATCTTCACTTCCTTCTTCCTGGTCTCCTCACTGAGGAAGTTGCAGAGATTAGGGAAGTCCAGCCTCAGGCTTCTTTGGGAGTCAGGAGGAAGGGGGGGG